GAGATGTGTTTTTTAATATATATATATATATATATTTCCTTTACCGGTCTATTCAAAACATACATGTATATCAACCTGATCATTGATGTGTAGGGCTAAAATAGTTTTGCAGTATTTGTCTAAGAACATTTACTTGATGGTACGTTCTCCTTTGTTTGGTTCTTGTTGAAGCATCGATTAGTATTATGTATCTAAATCCAGGTCCACTCTTATCTGATTTTGTTTTCAGGCTTCCCTGCATGACCTCTATGTTAAAGTTTGTCGGCTTAAAGGCTTGCAAACTGATAAGGTATAGTAACGGGCAAAATATTTCATTATTACCTGTATTGGGATCATGTTGACAAGTTTATTGTTGTATTTATAACCTCTTTCCAAATATTATACAGGCACACATCTGGGACTACTTCAATAAGAAGAAACAAACTATATTGATTTCGTCTAGCCAAACTCTACAGGATTCTAATTTGGAGATGGATCAAAATGTAGGTTGATCTTCTTGGTGTTTTTGGGAGAAATTCTCATGTCTTTAATAATCGTGTTATTGTATAGAGTTGTTTAATTGATACGTCTGCTTTGGGAAACTATTCCGCTGCTCTAACATTCACCAATGAATTATTTTAAATGTATTTTACTGCTATTTCAATTCCTTGCTGACTAGACATCTCAATTATATATAAGTCAATGAATGTGTATTTCCTTATATTCTTTTTTGTAATCTTTGGATCAAAACTTACAAAATTTAGCAGGATATTGTAGATGGACAGTGTATTTTCACAAGCTGATTATCGATCTTGTGTTTCCCAAAATGATTGGCATCATCAGATAGGCTGGCCTCAATTAAGGGACCAATGAAGAACCTGCCTATTAACTTTTTATTAGATATTCTCTCCCAGACCTGTGCATACCCCCGAGATTGTTTCCCAAAGTCCACTCCTTCCTATTTCCTTTCGTCAACTTGTTAGAATTACTTTTATAATTTACAATACCAAAAGTTAAAAAAATAAATCTTGATAAGCTCTGCAGATTATTACTACTTGATGGTTTTAACAACTGATGGTGAATTTTGTATTTGTGATTGCATGCTGTAAGTAATTCCCAGGGCGACATGATCATATTTAAATGGTGAATTATCGTTTGCTGTGGTTATTCATTTCTGTGTGTAGATAGCATGTTGCCTTTTGATCTGAAAACCTTTTGCGCCTTCCACAGATTCTTCTTGAGGTGCCAGGTGACGATTCTGGCATGGATTCAACCGGGAACGGCTTAGCTATGGTTCCAGTGGAACCTATGAGATCATCCTTTTCAATTGCCGGTGGCCCTACTATGTCGAATGGTAATTCAACTGGTCATAGCTCCAGCTTATACCAAAGAAGCACTTCTTCGTCCACATGTGGAGGTATGGAAAATGGATACAATGATGTAAACCCTGTGATGAGGGGAGATAAGGGTTTGGCAGGGTTGCAAAATCTGGGGAATACTTGCTTCATGAATAGCGCTGTTCAGTGTTTAGTTCATACACCAAACCTGGTTGACTACTTCTTGCAAGATTACACTGATGAGATCAACAAACAAAATCCTTTAGGAATGCATGTAAGCTCTCTTTTCTAGCTGTTGTGTGCAAGATTTTCATAATGGAAGATGTCATGATCTGTTGCTGCATGTGCCCTAATGACTTTTTTTCTCTTTCAGGGGGAACTTGCTCTTGCTTTTGGAGAACTACTGAGGAAACTCTGGTCTTCTGGTCGAACACCAGTTGCCCCTCGTGTGTTTAAGGGGAAGCTTTCTCGTTTTGCTCCACAGTTTAGTGGGTATAACCAACATGATTCTCAGGTTGGTTTTCAAACTGAAATGAAGTCTGGTATTTAAATGAATCACCTCACAACATATAGAATACATTATGATCTTCAGGTCCAGTGTGTTCTGGTGCCTTTCCCTAACTGCTTTATCGTCTTTTGGCCATTTGAAGTAATATAGTTTACGTGCCTTTCGCAATGATGTCAGATTTATCCAATAGTTCTATTTGAAGAAGCTGTAATTTTAATATACAGTGATTTATAGCATAACTATATGGCACATTCTAATATTGGTGAACTTGCTCTACCTTTTTTTCATTTATGGGAACGGTTCCTGTAACAAGAAGTTTATATATAATGACTATTCTGTTTAGAAGAATGATTTGCACCTTGTTTTCAGGAACTCCTTGCATTCTTACTGGATGGGCTTCATGAAGATCTAAACCGTGTGAAACAAAAACCATATATCGAAGCAAAAGATTTTGATGGTCGACCTGATGAGGAAGTCGCAGATGAGTTCTGGAGATATCACAAAGCGAGAAATGATTCGATAATTGTTGATATTTGCCAGGTTAATTGCTCTGTCCAGCTCGTGTTTCACTTGTATCGTGAGATACTTCCACCTCTAAGGTTCAATAAGCTATTTGTGTTTTAATGAGTTTATCAAAGGTATTATATAGAAAACGGGTAAATTTTGAGTTGTATGTTTGTTAGACCCTGACATGTTAATTTAGTGCACGCGTGTGTTGGGGAATGTGTGTGTGTATTGTTAAAATGAGGTTTTGCGTGAAATATTCAGTATGTTATACAATTGCTGATAGTATTACTTGGTGGCTTGTGAATGAAATTTGATGACTTGATCTTGCACTCTCCTTTTTTTTTTCCCTAATACTTTACTCTGAAGCTATAGTTGTTGTATAACTGAACTAAATTAATATCGGGTGAATATTCGAAGAACCTGAGAATCCATCCATGTATCTAGGCGGTCAAGTTATAAGAATTAATATGGTGCATGAAGGGTGAGTTCATTAAATGCACGAAGGTGAAGATGAGTATGAAAATGTATCTTAGTTACTAGGGGAGCTTAAAGGGTATTTCTTATACCTATATATACCCTATGATGAAGTCATTGCAAGTTGTAGGAGTGAAGAAGTCGAGCAAGAAAAAGAAGAATCATATAATATAATTTCTAGTTTTCTCCACTTCCCCTCTTCCATTTTTCTAACAATAATAACTGAAGCTATTTACTCAATATCGTTCTTCTGGGAAGCTGTTGCTAGCCTCATCTAATTTGTTATGGTAGTTTGAATAATGCCCATGTGCATGGTTCTGTTTCTCAGGGTGCTCTTCGTTAGTTCTTCTAATAGTTTTTCAGAAACTGAGTTGCCGTAAACCACAGTTACTAATGAATGCTATTTCTCGAATTTTACTGTTGAAAAATTTGCTTCTGAATTTAATTGTCTCTGTATGTCTTTTGTTTATCATTGTCTAATAGGTGTTATTATTTTCAGGGTCAATACAAATCAACGCTGGTCTGCCCTAAATGCAATAAGATTTCAATAACTTTTGATCCATTCATGTATCTCTCCTTGCCTCTTCCTTCAACTGCTACTCGGTCAATGACAGTAACAGTGTTTTATGCTGATGGAAGGAGCCTTCCAATGCCATTCACTGTTACGGTTCTCAAGCAAGGATGCTGCAAAGACCTTAACGAGGCTTTGGGCATTGCTTGCTGTTTAGGCAGTGATGAATACTTGCTCCTTGCTGAGGTACCTATTATTTGTGTTTATTATGTATTGATTTTTGTATGTCTGGGTTTTGAGTTAGATATTTGTATGCCAGTTTATGTTAAGAACTTTGAGCCTTCTATCTGTAGGTCTATGAACACCAAATATATCGGTATTTGGAAAATCCGTCAGAGGCTTTGGCAACAATTAAGGATGAAGAACATATTGTTGCCTACAGGCTTCCCAAAAGTGACACAGATCTAACAAGATTAGAGATATGCCACCGATACCAGGAGACGTGAGTTTTTTGCTCTTTTGTCGGCATGAGCTGAGCTTTCATTGTCTTATCTTTATGTATAGAATTTCAGTGATTATAATGTTATGTGAGTTGCTCTTTCTTTTTGATTATTCATGTTATGGACTTCGAAATATATGATCACGTAATGCATTTTGCATTGATTGCATAATGTGGGTAACTTTTTATTTTTTTCTCTGGAAAGTATAATAAAAGAAAGTGAGCGAGGATTGTATGTATATATTTATATATATGTATATTGTTATGTATATATGTATATTACTGTAACAATAAGTATGATTAGTTGAAAAGAATATTAGTGCCCTAATATGTGTCGATTAACTTTGTAGTTCTTGAAGACTTAGAAAACCATTATGTAAACTAGTTTCAACTTTAAAGAACTCAATGCATTTCGTGTTGGTGTTGCGTGATTAGATCCGAATCAAGAAAATTATGATATTTCTTATGCTTTTATCTCATGACCAAATGCTCTCGATAACAATCATAATTTCTGATCAATTTCTACTTATTACTTGGCTTGCTGACCTGATACCCCCTTTTCTATTTCATTAGTGAAAGGAAGATGTTCCTAACACCATTAGTTACTTCCTTGGAGGACCCACAGTCTGGAGCTGATATTGATATAGCCGTTAACCGAATGCTTTCCCCTCTAAAAAGAAAGTCATTTCTGGCTTCAACAACAATCCACATCAAAGGAGAAAATGGCTCCACGAATAGTGCAATGGAAGATGAAATGAAGATTTCAGGCACTCAGTTGGAATCTGAACTCCAATCAATAGATGAAATGGAGCCAAAGGGCATGTCTACTCGGGAGTTGTCTTTCCGGCTTAGCATTACTGATGCTAAGGGTTTTGGCTGCAGGTCTTTAGTGAAGGACTCACCAATAAAACCAGGTCGTATAGTCAAAGTAATACTGGACTGGACTGAAAAGGAACACGAGCTGTATGATTCCAGCTACCTAAAGGATCTTCCTGAAGTGCACAAGCCTGGAATTTTAGCAAAGAAAACTAAGCAGGAGGCCATCTCTCTATTTTCGTGTTTGGATGCATTTCTAAAGGAGGAGCCTCTTGGTCCCGATGATATGTGGTACGATCACACATGCTTTCAAATATTTTGAGTTCTCTGTGAAAATCTTTTTGCGGTTTGGACTTTACTTTTTGACTTATTCTCGTGCTCTTGAATTATTATTGCATGTAGGTATTGTCCTCGGTGCAAGGAACATAGGCAAGCAAGTAAAAAGTTGGATTTATGGAGGCTGCCGGATATACTTGTCTTTCACCTGAAAAGATTCTCTTATAGCCGATGGCTGAAAAACAAGCTGGATACATTTGTCAACTTCCCTATCCATAATCTTGATTTGAGCAAATATGTGAAGAGCGGTGGCATGGAAGAAGGCTCCCATTTGTACGAACTCTATGCCATCAGCAATCATTATGGGGGCCTTGGTGGAGGACACTATTCGGCATATTGCAAGGTAATCTTTTTGAGCTGTATTCAATAGTCCATTATCTATATGAATGGTTGTGCTCAATTCTCATGTATTTTGGTTGGTTGGACATATAATTGCTGCACTTACCATGCAATTTTGAGATGGCGACCTTTGCCTTTTAATAAAACAAAACGGTGGCAGTTTGGTACAATGAAGGGGGTATTTGGTGTATAAGAAGGGGAGGGAATGAATAATGACTAATGAGTGAGTATGATAAATTATATGTATTAAAACACAGTTTTCTGACGTTCGGTATAAAAATCAATAAGCAAAATTAATGTAAATTGTTACGTATATGGATTGAAGTAATCCCCCTCTATATATTAACGTAATGTATAATGGCCTGATCATACATGGTATGTTACTTAAATTCCTATTTTCTTGCAGTTAGTAGACGAGAACAGATGGTATCACTTTGATGATGCACACGTTTCGCCTGTCAACGAATCTGAAATAAAGACATCGGCAGCTTATGTGCTCTTCTACCGCAGAGTAAAAACTACAGCCACTGGCACTGTGGCTGAGTCATCAAGCAGTCATAGGGCCTCTTGATGTTTGCATACCAATTTTGGGAAAAGTTACGCTCAACAGGGTTTTTTACTGTGGCATGGCCTCTTATTAGCCCAATACATGCGCATGGTTTTTGAAGGCTTCTAATGGAGAAGGACGATTAAGTAGATGCAATGTAAGTGAAGTTTGTTGATGAAAATGAGAGCCGTTCGATTGGAGGGTATAAGGATCAGATAAGATTATGTATGTGAAGAAAGACATGCGATATGCTTGATTTTAAATTAATTTTGTTGTAGGAAATTTTTGGATGGCAATTAGTTGTGTTGTATAATGGGGTCTTGTTTACCTATGTATAACCTATTTTGGCGTTTTAAGTTTACCCCTAATGTTTCGAGCTGTTTGGCTCGACTGTTTTGTTTCGATTAGTTGGATTTGCTTTGGGGGATGAATGGAGATTCTAAAGCTTCTCGCAGGTTTAGTAGCTGCTGAAAAATGAGACTGTGAATGTTATGTGGACATTTGCATAAATATGAATTGAAAAATTACAGGTAAGAGACTAAATCCATCACATTCGTCTTCTAAATGCTATAAACAGATTTTTGTGGGACATACACACATAAATTGTGATACTCTAAGTCATGATATGAGACAAGCTGAGACAGTTGTAAGAATTTTATTTGTAGAAGTCATATCAATAGGTACACGTACACCTTCTTAACACCCAATTCATAAGAACTTCAAAGTTAAGCGTGTTTGGCTTGAGATAATTACGGGATGAGTGACCTCCTAGGAAATCACCCAATTCATAAGAACTTCAAAGTTAAGTGTGTTTGGCTTGAGATAATTACGGGATGAGTGACCTCCTACGAAATTTTTCAAGAAGCGTGTTTGAGTGTCCCTCCTAGGAAATCACCCAATTCATAAGAACTTCAAAGTGGGTTTGGCTTGAGATAATTACGGGATGAGTGACCTCCTACGAAATTTTTCAAGAAGCGTGTTTGAGTGCTCAAAGAACACTGGAAAGACTAGTGTTGGTACAGTGCCGACTACTATTAGATCTGGAGAGCGATATGCGGCCGTTACATAAATATTTCCTATTTGATCATTTTGTCCATTTTAATTATCAATTGTATTGTATCATATTATTTTACATCAAAATAATTGACTTTGAAAACAATGAAATAAATTTGAAACTATATTTTTCTTGCTAATTCATTTACACTGTCAACTATTATTCCCATTTAATATAAAAGTATCACAACAACTATACACACAAAAGGAAAAGTTCAAATCAAAATCCAGATCCCTAAGGTTGCCATTGGAAATACATTATTTTGGATTGAATTTTATTTGCTGAATAAAGGGAGTTAATTTTGAATAAAGTTGATTGGGTAGAGAATTTGAGTTTGAGTTTAAAATAATATTTAAAATGTAATGACTAAAGTTTATTTAGCATAAAAATAGAAAAACCCGTGGTTAAAAGTGACGAGTAATTAAAATTACGCGAATACAATGAATTGAAATAAAATGTCCAACAATAATTGATGTAGCTACGCGCTGCGCATTGTCAAAATACAGAGAGACTAGTAAATGGGTCCATGCAGCAGAACTAATGCTGTATATATGTTCGTTTCCTACTACAATCATTACATTAAAAATGGCTAAACCTAACTTAAAAAACACAAATTTAAATAATTTCACAACACAGGCCAAAAAGGTGAGGAGATTGCCATTGTTGTCTAGGCAGCTTTCAGTGCTCCAAGTTACGAAAGAAGATGATGATGACGACTCTGAAAACAACCAAGGGTTTGTTTGTTATTTGCTCACAATGCTATCGATTTGCCGCCTAAGCTTAACAATCTCTGTGCTTATTTATTCCTCTCTTTTCTTGCATCCCATCAATCACATGAAACCAGAGTAGTACCGCAACAAAATTGTCGAGACCGCCGTGCACAAAACGGACAAAAATGTCCCTCCTCTGTTCAATCTAAGTCTCCCCTGCAATTCAGATAACAGAATTTTGAACGGTTATTAATGAAGTTGCGATTTCGTGCTATTTATTTAGCTTCAACCAAAAAAAAAAAAAAAAAAAAAAACAACCCGATGGACGACACCAATTTTTTGCAGTTGGATAAGGTTTTCGTTCATTCTCTCCTCGTAAGAGAAAACGATCGATTGAGTCGTTCATCGTGATTCAATCAAATTTGTAAAGAAGTGCAGCAAAATAGAGTGTGTTTTACATTTTCTTTGCCCATATATGTTCTTAAAAAGTATCTATCATTTGTTTTAGGTTGAACTGACTGTAATTGCCACTAGAGAATTTACCACACAAGTTGAACCAAATCAAGGTGAACTGAAAGCTCCTAATTATGTTTAGAAACTAAACACAATCACATGGGGCTGTTGGGGCCAAAAATGACAATAACATACTGGAGATGCTACGGTCCGTTACGGAACCGTTCCGTCGGAGTTTGTAACCGTTTTATGATATCAACTATCCACGGCGGTTACATGATGATCTAAGGTAGACCGTAACATTTTCCATAACTTATACAGAAAATTCGCCACTGATAAATTTCATCAACATTCATATTTTTTCATTCATATTTTCCAACTTCTCTTGCATGTTGACCATACACGTGTGCAGTTTTGCGAATCATTATATGGTTGAAATATATAGATATTAGTATATATTATAATAATAAATGTTCATAAAAAATAATAATAACAAATAATAAAAAATTGATTTTTTTTTTTTCGAGAAAGATATGAAATCTGCATTGTACAGTCTGTATTATTTCCTTTTTACCTAACTAATCTATACTGACGAGATTGTTTTATTAATTAGCACGAGGAGTTGATTTAACAATTTGTTTTTTAAGAAAAAAAAAAATCTAATTTATTTAAATTTTAAAGAAGTAAATGAAGCGCATTAAATTAAAGTAAGCTAAAAAGCAGCAAAACGAGGCAGTATTTAAAATAGCTATAAACCCCTAATAAAATAATCGGGAGAAAACAAAGAAAAACTCACCGCCTCATCGATTATGTAGCCATCCGGGGAAGGCATGACCATCGCCGGCG